ATGCTGGCGGGAAAAAACACTAGCCCACGGGTTTGTATCGGAGCTGCCTCCCGATTCCTTGGTCCAAGTGATGCCTTTTGACCTCAGGCCCTGGAGGTCCAGCAAGAGGTGGGACATCGCGAGCGGAGGTTTTTTCCCCTGGCGGTTGTTTTTTTGTTTGACCCGCAAACCCTAAACCCTAAACCCTAAACCTAACTTCTAATTACTTTAATATTAATTTAAAAGTTAAAGCCAAAACGGTCGCGCCGGTGCGCCTAACACTGGGGCTTCTCGAAGCTTGTTTTTAAGTTCTGCGTGCGTCTTGCGAGCTTGTAAATCTGCTTCGCTGCTCGAATCCAAGTTCGGGGCCAAAATCGCAAAATTTGCCACGCGCCTTGGCGCCGCAGTTCAGCCGTGGGCGCGCCGGGGCCCCGCCGCGGGGCTGGTGGCCTAGTAAACTTGCGTCCGTCTCTGAAGCGGGTGGTCCCGGGCTCGGTTCCTCCCTGGCGCGCGCTGTTGTTTGTCGTGGCCCCGTAGCGGTTTCAGGCTGCCGGGAGTTCCTCCTGTGGTTTTCCACTTCCGGCCATCGAAAACATGGTTCTGATGGACTTGCCGGATCAAAGCGCCCGTGCTGTGGCACGGCGATTGGAGTTGCTTCTGAAACGCTTCTGGGCTTGCGCGAGGGCAAGTTTCAAGCTCGCGCTGTTCCCTCGCAAACTTTCTCTGTAAAAAATTCCGGGCTTGCTTTCCTTCAGGCCCGAGATCCGTGGCTTCGGGCAAGGAAGCTGCTCTCTGCCCTCGCTTGCCGCCTGCCGCGGCCTGTCAGCTGCTTCGTCGGTCGCCGCTTGCTGTTGCTCCCGACTTTTGTAACTTTGCCGCGGCGCGCCCGCCGCTCACCGCTCGCCGCTCTTTTGTCGTGCTTGGCGCGTTGAGTTGCGCTGGCCGCGTGTGGAAGCTGGCGCTTGGAAGCGGGTCCTGGGTGGGTGGGATTAAGATCGAAACTTTTGATGAGCTTCGCTTTGAAAAATCTACGGCTTGAAATCTTTGAACCCTAAACCCTAAACCCTAAACCCTAAACCCTAAACCCTAAACCCTAAACCCTAAACTTTTAGTGGCTCGCGCCAGTGTGCGCCAACACAGTATTTTTTGTTTATGCTCGAGGGGGCAAAGACAGAAGCGCTAGGCGCCGGCTTCCCGTGGCAGAAGCGGCCTGACTTTGTCGCTGGGCTCTGCGAGGCAAGGGGCTGTGGCGCAGTGGCAGCGCGCCTGCGGTCGATGCGTCTGCCGCGGAGGTCGCGGGCTCAATTCCCGCCAGCCCCCATCATTGTTGAGCTGTCCCGAGGTTTTAGGTTTCGGGGCTTAATGTCTCGGGGCGCAAGTGTCAGGGGCGCAAGGCGCGGGGCGCGGGGTCCTGGGCGGGGCAAGGGGCCCGGGTGGCGGGCGGGGCTCTAGGCTCCGAGGCTTTGGGTTTTGGAGCTCAATGCGCGGGGCGCGGGGCGCGGGGCGCTAGGCGGGGCAAGGGCCGGGGGGCGGGCGGGGCTGGGCGCGCGGGGCGCTGGGGACTACGCCGCGGCGCCGGGAGACGGTCTCAGGGCCGACCGTGAGGCGCGGGGCGCGGGGACGGCCCCGAGATCGTTTAATCTCAACATCAACGCCAATTGCAATTTCATCAAGAGCAATTGGGCCAATGGCTGCTTTATCAAGGCCCCAATAGCCGTTTTATGGCCGTTTATCAAGGCCAATTGGCGTTTTATGAAGCCAAGGCAGCCCGTAGACCATTTTATCGCCCCCAATGGCCGTTTTATCAAGGCCAATGACTGTTTTATCAAGCCGTAGACCAGCTTATCGCCCGTAGACCATTTTATCTCAAAAAGCTTAGGGTCGACCCCCCTACCAACCAACCAAGCGGCTAGCTTTCCACTTTTGTGATCCCAGTATTTTCTCTTGGGCGCCAAGCTGTGTTGGCGAACCCTAAACCTTAAGCCCTAAACCAAGTTGACAAGTTATGGAGGGGGCCCCGGGAAAGCCAACATGGAACGGTTTTCAATTGGCCGTTTTCTGACTGCAAACCCCCTTAGGAGTGACCCTTATCACCGACCATTCTTTTGAGGGGCCAGCAAAGCTTGTGTTACCTCCGAGTTGACAAGTTGTGGAAGGGGCTTCGGGGGGCCGCCTTCTGACTGCAAGCCCCCTGAGGAGCGACCCTTATCACCGACCATGCTTTTGAGGGGCCAGCAAAGCCTGTGTCGCCTGCGAGTTGACGCGTTAGGGCTTCGGAAAGGCCAAAATGGAACGGTTTTCAAGGGGCCGTTTTCTGATTGCAAACCCCCTTAGGAGTGACCCTTATCGCCGACCATTCTTTGGAGGGGCCAGCAAAGCCTGCGTTACCTCCAAGTTGGCAAGCTGAGAAAGGGCCCCGCGAAGGCAAAAATGGAGCAATTCTCAAGGGGCCGCTTTCTGACTGCGAACCCCCTTAGGAGTGACCCTTATCACCGACCATTCTTTTGAGGGGCCAGCAAAGCCTGTGTTACCTCCAAGTTGGCAAATTGAGAAAGGGCCCCGGGGAAGCCAAAAATGGAACGGTTTTCAAGGGGCCGCCGCTCCCCCGGATCGTAGGTTCCTGAGTGAGGGGTCTGAGGAACCTGACGGGCGTCATGAGGAACCTGAGGGGCATGGCCTTGAAGGAACCCAAGGCGCTTGAAGGGGACTGAAAGATCCTGGGGGGTTCCGAGCGGTCTGGGCGGCTCGCCGCGCCTCGCCTCGCAGCCCCCTTTCCGGCGCGCGGTTGAAGGGGGAGGCGGGCTAGGAGGTGTGAGGTTAGCCGGCCGCGGCGGTTTCGGGCGCGAGCTTTTCTGCGCGCGGAGGCTATACGCGCCGCTTGCACAAAGGGCGTGTTCCGCCAGGCCCCTTGTGTGGGCGCCATATCGCCTCCGCCGAAAAGCCCATGCCTGAAATTCGCGGGGGGGAGGCGGGCTAGAAGGTCTTAGGTTGCCGGCCGCGGCGCGTTGCCTTATCGCCGACCATTCTTTTGAGGGGCCAGCAAAGCTTGTGTCACCTCCGAGTTGACAAGTTGTGGAAGGGAACGGTTTTCAAGGGGCCGCCCTCTGACTGCAAACCCCCTGAGGAGCGACCCTTATCACCGACCATGCTTTTGAGGGGCCAGCAAAGCCTGTGTTGCCTGCGAGTTGACGCGTTAGGGCTTCGGAAATGCCAAAATGGAACGGTTTTCAAGGGGCCGTTTTCTGACTGCAAACCCCCTTAGGAGTGACCCTTATCACCAACCATTCTTTTGAGGGGCCAGCAAAGCCTGCGTTACCTCCAAGTTGGCAAGCTGACAAAGGGCCCCGGGAAGGCAAAAATGGAGCAATTTTCAAGGGGGCGTTTTCTGACTGCAAAACCCCTTAGGAGTGACCCTTATCACCGACCATTCTTTTGAGGGGCCAGCAAAGCCTGCGTTACCTCCAAGTTGGCAAGCTGAGAAAGGGCCCCGGGAAGGCAAAAATTGAGCAATTCTCAAGGGGCCGTTTTCTGACTGCAAACCCCCTTAGGAGTGACCCTTATCACCGACCATTCTTTTGAGGGGCCAGCAAAGCCTGCGTTGCCTCCAAGTTGGCGAATCGAGAAAGGGCCCCGGGGAAGCCAAAAATGGAACGGTTTTCAAGCCCCGCCCAGATCTCGTAGGTTCCTGAGTGAGGGGTCTGAGGAACCTGACGGGCGTCATGAGGAACCTGAGGGGCATGGCCTTGAAGGAACCCAAGGCGCTTGGAGGGGACTGAAAGATCCTGCAGGGTTCCGAGCGTTCTGGGCGGTTCGCCGCGCCTCGCCGCGCAGCCCCTTTCCGGCGCGCGGTTAGGGGGGGAGGCGGGATAGGAGGCGTGAGGTTAGCCGGCCGCGGCGGTTTCGGGCGCGAGCTTTTCGACGCGCGGAGGCTATATGCGCCGCTTGTGCAAAGGGCGTGTTCCGTCAGGCCCCTTGTGCGGGCGCCATATCGCCTCCGCCGAAAAGCCCATGCCTGAATTTCGCGGGGGGGAGGCGGGCTAGGAGGTTTTAGGTTAGCCGGCTTTAGCCCGCGCCGCGCCGCGCCGCGCCGCGCCTCGATCTTGTAGGTTTCTGAGGAGTCTGGAGGAACCTGACGGGCGTCATGAGGAACCTGAGGGGCGTGGCCTTGAAGGAACCCAAGGCGCTTGGAGGGGACTGAAAGATTCCGAGGGCTTCCGAGGGGTCTGGGCGGTCCGCCGCGCCTTGCCGCGCCTAATTAATTTGAGGGGGAGGCGGGTTAGGAGGTGTGAGGTTAGCCGGCCGCGGCGCGTTGTTGTAGACGGTTTCGGGCGCGAGCTTTCGACACGCGGAGGCTATATGCGCCGCTTACATAAAGGGCGTGTTCCGCCAGGCCCCTTGTGTGGGCGCCATATGGCCTCCGCCGAAAAGCCCGTGCCTGAAATTCGCGGGGGGGGGGAAAAAATAGAAGAAGTAGGGGGCCTGGGGGGAAGTCTGTTGAGGGTTGCCTGTTATGGTTTTTATGTTCATCTCAAATCTGTGTTCCCCCTTATTCGTTTTTAAAAGAGGGTTTTTAGGGAGCTTGTTTATCGTTTTGTTAGAGGTGGAACATTTGGGTTTTTGTTGCCTTGTTCATTGTTGGGCTGGGGGCAAACATTTTTTTCATTTGAAAGAGTTGGCCCTTTTAGTAGTTATCAAGTTCTGGGGTGTTGGGTGAGTTATTGATTTTTAGTGTTTGGTTTCCCGTCGTCCGTGCCCCGGCCTCGTGGACATTGACACCTTCTTTGGTTCTGCCGGGTTGCCAAGATTGGGTTGTGGCGTGTGTAGTCATGGTTGTTCATTTCGTGATTGTAGCAGTCATGCCTTGAAGCAAGTTTTGAGGACACTTGTGAGCGAGATAGAGACCGGTCAGAAGACAATACAGAACTCTTACTGAGATTGACCTTCGACCTTGTTGTTTACCCACCAGCATTTTGCGCTCAACAACTTTGACTGAAGTGTCAAGTTCGCCTCTCACTGTTGTCATGGCATCCTCTTCCGAAGACAACACCAAGACTGTGAAGATGACGTTGCAAGTTGCACCAGTTCAGGAGGACTTTGAGACCTTGGTCAATGGGTTGACCTTCCAAGAGATGGACACCCATAAGACGGAAATCTTTGAGGAAATCAAGCGTCTGACTGCTCAGCATGTCTACCTGAATGAGCTGTTGGAGGAAGAGAACAGCCGCATCAGGAAGGAGGAGACCGCACGGAGGCAGAGGGAGAGGAACGAGCTTGTTCGGGAACAGAACCGCTTGGAGCGCGAGAGCAACATGACAGTATTCGTCGACATGGAGGGTTTCCGTGATGAGCCCTACACGGCCACTCTGTCCAAGGACAGCACGATTGCTGACTTACGCGAGATGGTGGCGGTGAACCATCCTGACTACACCAACCTTCGCCTCAAGACTGCCAAGGACGACTTTACGAAGCACTTCAAGATGATTTGGAACGACAAGGTGTTCCACTCAATGAATGCTCGTCCTACACTGGGCGGAAAGACGCTGAACATGCCTGACGGTGCTCGTTTGAGTGGATACTCCAAGGCAGAGTATGAGGCTATGACCGTCATCGCTTCGGTTGCCCCTGTTGTCGCTGAAGCGGAAGGGCAGTAGATGTACAGATGTCTTGTCTGCCATTCATCCACGGTTCTTCGGGTGAAAGCCTCTCCAAGCATGTGTTCATTTAAACAACTTCTCAGCTGTGTGAAAGAGAGTTCCAAAACCGTGGTGAATGTGCCTTTGTCCCACGTCGATGACAATCACTAACAGACCTCTTGGCTCTCCCTGAAAAAAAAAGCTCTTCATCATTGTGCTATGCATGTGATTGGATTGAGAAGCATTGTCTGTCAAATTGCCTTTGTTTGAATGCTTTGCTCGGTTTGTGAAAGTATTTGGCTTGAAATCTGGTTTGTGCCCTCATACCATGACTTCCGCCTCCAAAGTTCCAGATTTGGACAATGACGAGGAGCGCATGCCGGTAAGACCCTCAGGAGGACGCCCAACAGGTGATGAACACTGGACTCGCAAAATCCGCAAGGAGGTGCAAGACTTGCAGTCTGAGGTCAACCTCCTGAAGCGGTTTGTCGCTGACAAGGGCTTTGATGTTTCAGATGCTTTGCAGGGAACTGCGACAGGTCAGAGCAGTCAGGGTACCAGTGGTTCGGGAGGGAATGGCGGAGAGGACACCAACAAGGACAATGCCGACGAGCAGGACGAAGACCCAGATGACAGTGAACCAGAAGACGGGGGAGATGACCCTTTTGAGAGTCAGTGCTTCATCACCCTGTATGCGAAGATGAACTTTTCTTGTGTCAATTTGGTTGTTGCTTCAAACCTCACCATCTTCGTGAACCCGAAGTGGAAGATGAAGACCTTTACCACCATGTTGAGTGGCCAGGTGAAGATTTCGCCCAACTGCTTGAGGCTCATGAACGTCAAAGGGGAGACGCTCTACTGCTCCTTGTCGTATGAGGACAACATGGTGAGGGACTTTGACACCATCAGTGTCTCCATGGAGCTGAAGGGAGGTGCGCGGACCACTAAGAAACCGATGTTTGTAAAGAAGGAGGATGCCTTGAAACACCTGAAGGACAAATTGGAGGCCACGCACAAGGTCAATGCAAGCACGGAGATTGACCAGGAGATGTCTGAGACTTTCCACGCGTTGGTCAATGAGTTGAAGCTAAAACAGCACGAGTTTGAGACTTTGAGAACCAGGATTGGACAGAACTTCATTACCATTTGCCTACGACACCTTGACACAGAGAGCCTCTCAGTTCTCAAAACATTGTTTACCAATGTCCCTGGCACCAAGAACCTGACGAACGATGAACGCGCTGCTCGTGCTGTCCAGGTCCTCTTTCCAACAGTGAAGTTGGTTCAGAAGTATGTCTCCGTCCTTCAGTCCATAGAGAGTGAGACGACAACAGCCCTTCTCCACATGTTTGTTGATGAGTTCCACAACTTCAACGCACAGGCTGGCATCTTGAACATAGACGGTCAGTCCTTCCTGGAAAAGGTGAAGCAAGAGTTATCAAGCCGGAATGACCGCCAACCTGCTGACCTGAATGTTGATGCTGTCTCATCCAACTGCATTTTGCAGTGAGTGTTTTGCGCTAGAAACCATAACGCCACTATATAGATAAGAGCGTCTACAAACTGATGGTGAAAGGAAACAGTTGTCTGCTAGAGTGCGGGTTGAAGGTCTCCCCAATTTCGGGGAGGGGGCTACCCCAATTTCGGGGAGGGGGCTACCCCAATTTCGGGGAGGGGGCTACCCCAATTTCGGGGAGGGGGCTACCCCAATTTCGGGGAGGGGGCTACCCCAATTTCGGGGAGGGGGCTACCCCAATTTCGGGGAGGGGGCTACCCCAATTTCGGGGAGGGGGTCTCCATTAATTTAGGTTTACCCCTAATCCATCCACCCCATTTACCCTAAACCCATTTACCCTAAAATAGTTCCCGCACCTGTCTACTCCGAGGTCTGGAAGTCCTGCTCTTCATCACCTTCAACGCTTGCGAGTTCTAGGTTCTGGGACGGGTCGGGTTTTACCATGTTCCTTTTTTTTTGTTTGCATTTTTTCAAAATCAAGGAAATGACACTAAAACCCAAATCCCGAGCAACCCGACCAACCGAGCCTGTCCCTGAAAATAATTCTAATAATTTCATATTATTAGAACTATCTAGATAATTATTTTATGGAGTAATGTCGCGAAGCTCATTAGGCTATTACTTTGTAATAGCGTAATGCCCATATGGTAATGAAGTGAAAGCATCACTATAAAACCTTTTATTTTCATAATTACTCAGACTTTGCTTGACTTGAGACATTGAATATATTTGATGCGACTTACTTCTGATGAAGTTATATGTGATTTCATGCTTTTTGTTTTGAAATAATGCTTCGTGGTAGTTCTGATACGACAGTTCTTTCTTCACCTTGTGTTTTACTACACCTTTTGACTTTTTATGTTCATCATCCTCGCCATGAATTGTGAAGGCATATGATTTAGGTTTTAATCCAATGAATTTAGTAATGATTTTTCCATTCACTTCATCCTTAAACATTCCTAAGACCTTCTTATTAGTTTTGTCATGACATGGATGCTCAACAGGGTAGTCGCTAAAATCCATGTGTTGCTTTATCTCATTGAAATCCTTATAAACATCATCAGTCATTGTTTGAATTACATAACTATCAGTATCAGTATATATCAATTTGATGTTTTCATTATACTTCTTTTTCAATACATCATAGTAAAACTTATACATATGTAGTTTGCTTAAATCTAAAATGCTCATTCCTAAGAAAATGGGTTTATCCAGTTTCAGTTTCGCTTTAGTTTTTTCAACTCCTACCAGATTTTCATTAATAATAAACCTGTTTTTGAAAGTTGGATTATTAACGCATTTTTCATATCTTACCTCATTATCAACTAATTCAAAGTCCATATGGTTTCGCTTGTCTTCCATAGTTTTTCCGTACACCGCGTTATTCATTAATTTGAATAAATCTTTCTCAAAATCGCTTTTGGCTTCTTTCCTTTTACCTGTGTTAAAATCAATCCACGGTTTCAACCATGCCCTCTGTTGAAATTTTATTATCCTATGGACTTTTGTCATTTTCATTCCCATTTTCAAATAATACTGTAAAGTCTTGATATGAACCACATATTTTTCTTTATCCTTTAGATTTAATATTAACTTACTTGTTTTCTCATCCTTGGGATTTTTGCCATCATAATATATTTTGTAGACTTGCTTTTGATAATCAGAAAGCATACTAACATTTACATTCATTATTTCAGGCGCTAGTGGATAGTCAGAGTGGAAGTCGTGCAATGTTTCGGGATATTCCAAATCAACTTCCATAATATAACCGAACTCATCGTTTTCATTCCATGTTTCAACACTGGGCGTTTTCTTTGCCCACTTGATATTTTTTAGCGGTAATTTCTGGGACATTGCTAAACCATACAAGTTATTAGCATCCAAGTAGCTAATATAATTTGATGGCTTGTTCTCATCATATGCTTCCCCCATATACTTATTATTTGCCACCGCTAATTTATGACTGACTTGACACATTCCACCTCTCATTCCCTTTTCAACCATCTCAAACATTTCTTGGTCATGCAATTGTTCTATTTCAACACCAGTTTTTAGAAGCATCGCGTCCCATGCGAAATTTGGCAATGTGTAATAATGAGCGGGGTCTAAACCGTAGTATTCCATACACAAGTCTCTAAAGTTTTCAAATACATCGGTCAGTAGTAAAACATCAGTTCTTAAATACAAGTCGTGATACTGCCCGAGTGTTCTAATCCCGAAGTGCTTCCATACTTTCAGTGCCCTTTCATAATCTTTATCACTTACATGTTCCTCACTTAATTTACTGTAAAACGCTTCTTTCGGTGGTAAAGCCCTTTCCTTAAATCTTTCAAAATCATCAAAGTAGTCATAGGGATAAATACCCTTATCAGTCAATAAATCCAAATCTTCATCGGTTTTAACATACGGGTTTCTAACGCTGTATCTGAAATTGTTCTTCCAATTCTCACGCTTTTTATCATCCTCATATTTACTCAACCTCACCAACTTATCCAACGAAGACGATAAGAAACTGAAACTGTCCTTGAAACAAAGATTTTTAAAACCAAAGGTTATAAACTTTTCGCTGTTCTGAGCGATACATTCTATTTTAGAATTCTTGTTCAATTCGTGAGCCTTGTTGATGATTAAGTGGGCATCATAGTTTTTAAGGTTATGAAGAAACACAGGGATTTTATAATATCTCATACTAAATCGTAGATTGCAGTCCTCGTGGGCGCAACCTCTATACTGTCCCGTAAAGTGGCAATGGTCCCAACACTTCTTTTCTCCTTCCTCAAATTTGTTTCCACAAATGAAGCAGTTAGTGGCATTATTGAAGTCCTCCCAGTCCTTCTCGGTTTCAATACGGTCTTTGTCCTCCTTCATTTTCTCCAAAACTTCCTCTCTGACTTTATTGATTTTCTCAACAAATTTATCCATACAATCCTGACCTCTATATAAGTAAGGCTCACTACTTCCGGTTATAGCATTGACTACATTAATCATAAAACCACACGGACGATGATTTTGATATGATGTAGTTTTAGCTTTTGCCGATTTGCTTTTAACATCAATTGGCACAGTTAAACATTCAAAGTCGGCATAGATTACGAATGGAGCTTTAAGTTTCTTGAAATGGTTTTTGAATACTATTGTTTCACCTGCTTCTGGCATTTCTATTTTTTGACCCTCAACTGCTAGACATCCTTGTTCTTCGTGTTTCTTTAAAAGTTCTTCGGTCTTGAAACCATGTGAGCAGGTTCTACAGTGATACTTCTTCGCCTTCATCTTGTTAGTCTGACTACTCATTAACTTATCATAATTTTTGATATAAGCGTAATGGGATTTAACATCATCAGTCAATTTAATCAAATCGATTTTGTGTTGTGCTTGTGGGTTGTTGCTTCTTTTGTATAATAAAATAGTTTTACTATTCGTATCGGGGTTTATGTAATAAACATTGACCGATATGTGTTTGTTCTGTTCTTCAAATAGTTCAATCTCATCATTACCTACTGGA